AGTTCCTGCAACCGTTCTTCGTATGTTTCAGCCTCCAGTCCCCTAATCCTCTTGGTTGCTCTTCTCTGCACTCTTTCTAGAATCTCAACTTCTTTTTTTACATCGTGGCGACCAAAACTGGATGCAGTATTCCAAGTGTGGCCTTGTTACCAAGGCCTTATAAAGTGATATCAACACTTCATATGATCTTGATTCTATCCCTCTGTTTATGCATCCTAGAACTGTGTTGGCTTTTTTTTTGACAGATGCTGCACAGTTAACACCCATCAGGGTTTGGGGACAGTTACACGATGTACAGTAAATTCTCCGCTGCTTTAAAAAGATCTCCTTGACTGCAGCAGTCAAGGAAATGGAAGAAAGCATGAACCCCAGATCTGCTGAAGAAAGCCAGGGAGGCTTCTTCTGGCTGCTGCAGAGATCACAAGGGGAATCTCACCAGCTGCATCCAATCTCTGTTCTGGTTTCGTTTTACCAGTCGTCCTAGCCCAACATTTCTGCACTTAAGCAAGACATTGGTTAAGTGACTTTGGCCCCCCATTCTAGGATTTTTCTTGCCACGTTGGTTAATCAGAAACCCCGCAATTATTAAAATTTGCAGTACTTTTGTGAAGTACTGTTTCTCCATTGGCTTTGCTTTTCAGAAGGTCACCAGAGGGGGTGGAGGGAAATCACACAACCCCATGATTCTGCGACCGTCGTAATACGAACCAGTTGCCAAGTGTCCGAATTTTGATCGTGTGACGATGGGGACGCTATGATGGTCATAAATTGAAAAGTGGTGATAAGATGAGGAGAGAGAGAGAGAGAGAGAGTAAAAAAGAAAGAAGGAAAGAAAGTAAAAGAGAGAAAGGAAAGAAAAAAAGGAAGGAAGGAAAGAAAGTAAAAGAAAGGAAAGAAAAAGAAAAGGAAGGAAAGAGAAAAAAATAAAGGAGAAAGAGAGATGGGAGTGAAGGGGAGGAGAGGCAAGAATGGAAAAGGAAAAGGAGGAGAGGAAGGGAGGAAGGATAAAGAGGAAGGAAGAAACAAAGAGGAAAGGAGGGAGGGAGGAAGGAAGGAAGGAAAGAAAAAGGGAGGGAAGGAAGAGGAGACAACTTTTACTGTCCCTTTTTTCTGTGAATATCCTGGCACACATTAAAACGTAAAGTTGCTTTTTTCAGTGCTGTTGTAACTTCAGTTGGTCACTAAACAATTCGTAAGTCAAGGAGTAACTGCAACAGAAGCTGCCTGAATAGATGGGCTCTAGGTTCTCTGCCTCATATACTGCCCCTTCAGATTAATCTTGCAAGTGGCCTCAAATGGGGCCAGCTCAGAGGTGACCTTGAAGAAGGAGCCTCATCATCTCTGATCTTCGAGGGAATTTGGGCCACCAAAGCTCAGCTCTTGACTGCTTCTTGGCTCTCATTCTGTCTTCTTTTCCACACCCTTTGACCCCCTTCCCCAATTCTGCAGTCAAAGAGAAGTTGCGGCTGGATCCAGAGAGCGAAATTGCCACCACTGGCGTCCGAGTATCTTTAATATGCCCGGTAAGCATTGTGCTGCAAGGCAGAACTTCAACAAAAGGCACAAGCTAAATGGCGCATCTGCTAGCCAGCATTCATAAGCGGCTGGTCGGCGAGAACCTATTTTGCTGGGTGTCAAATGCACCCGTGAAATTTTGAGCCTTTGAATCCAGTCTCTGAGCTTCTTAACCAGTTTTTAAAGTTCCGCTCCAGCTTACTGGGCGGAGGACCAAGTACCACTTTCACCCCCTTGTGGAAGCAGATTCATCTATCCATCCATCCATCCATCCAACTAAGCAACCAACCATCTCTCCATCCCTCCCCTCCCTCCCACCAACTCTCTGTCCTTTTGACCAACCAAGCAACCAACTATCCACCAATCCAATCAATCACCAACTGAGCAACCAGCCCACTCTCCATCCATCCGTGCATGGATGCATCCATCCATCCAACCAACCCCCATCCATCCTTCCTCCCACCCTCCCACTAACTCTCCATCCAGCCACTCGACCAACCAACCCCCATTTGCACCACTCCCTCCCTCCAACTTTTCATCCAGCCATCCGATCAACCAACCAACTCTCCATCCATTTGAACAACCAAGCAACCAAGTATCCATCCAATCAACCAACCAACCATCTACCCATCCATTCATCCATCCCCCCTCCCTCCCTCCCACCAACTCCTCATCCGAGCAACCAACTATCAATCCATCCATCCAACCATCCAATCAACCAGCCAACTCTCCATCCATCCAACCAACCTCCATCCGGCCCCTCCCTCCCACCAACCTCCATCCATTTGAGCAACAAACCAATCAGCCAATCAACCAGCCAACCAGCCAACTAATTAACCATCTAACCACCCACCCACCCATCCCTCCTCCCTCCCTCCCACTAATTCTTCATCCATCCAACCAACCCCCATCCACCCCCTCCTCCCTCCCACCAACTCTCCATCCAACCAACCAAGCCTTCCTCCCTCCTACCAAGCAGCCAACTCTCCATCCATCCATCCAACCAACCCTCCTCCCTCCCACTAATCAACCATCTCTCCATCCATCATCCAACCCTCCCTCTCATCAACCAACCAACCAACTCTCCATCCATCCATCCATCCATCCATTCATCCAATCCTCCCTCCCTCCCACTAATCAACCATCTCTCCATCCATCCAACCCTCCCTCTCACCAACCAACCAACCAACTCTCCATCCATCCATCCATCCATTCATCCAATCCTTCCTCCCTCCCACTAATCAACCATCTCTCCATCCATCCAACCCTCCTTCTCACCAACCAACCAACCAACTCTCCATCTATCCAACCAACCCTCCTCCCTCCCACTAATCAACCATCTCTCCCTCCCTCTCACCAACCAACCAACCAACTCTCCATCCATCCATCCAACCCTCCCTCTCACCAACCAACCAACCATCTCTCCATCCATCCAACCCTCCTTCCCTCCCACTAATCAACTGTCTCTCCATCCATCCAACCAAGCCTCCTCCCTCCCACTAATCAACCATCTCTCCATCCATCCATCCATCCAACCCTCCCTCTTATCAACCAACCAACTCTCCATCCATCCATCCATCCAATCCTCCCTCCCTCCCACTAATCAACCATCCCTCCATCCATCCATCCAACTCTCCATCCCTCCCTCCAACTCACAAACCACCAGCCAACCAACCAAATAGCTTGCCTCTAGAAGTTGTGGGTGCTCCAACCCTGGAGGTTTTTAAGAAGAGACCGGACTGCCATTTGTCTGGAACGACATAGTGTCTCCTGCTGGAGCAGGGGGTTGGACTAGAAGACCTCCAAGGTCCCTTCCAACTCCGTTATTCTGTATTTGATCAGGTTCTATTCTAGATTCATTTTTATTTATTTATTTTGCCTGTGGCTCTCATGCAGTTTTTTTTTCCCCTCCCTCTTCCGAAGCTGGTAAAGATGCGCCTGTCGGTACCGTGTCGGGCGGAAACGTGTGCCCACCTGCAGTGCTTCGATGCAGTTTTCTACCTGCAGATGAACGAGAAGAAACCCACGTGGATGTGTCCGGTGTGTGACAAACCAGCCACGTATGATCAGCTGATGATCGATGGGTTAGTTGAGTCAGTTTACTTCCCAACATAATGCAGGACACTTCATTACAGGAATCCCAGGAGGGTCAAGAAACTTGGATGGGGGTATGTGCGTCCTTGGCACTCTCTGAGCTTAGTTGTTTTCTTGCAGACGTTTCATGACCCTATTAGGTAACATCATCAGTGCTGGAAGGGAGTGGGGTTTGTGGAGAGGCGGAGGAGGAGCACGACAACAACTGTGGGGTCCTTGGTGCTCTCTGAGCTTAGTTGTTTTCTTGCAGACGTTTCATGACCCTACTGGGTAACATTGTCAGTGCTAGAAGGGAGTGGGGTTTGCTCTCTTATTGTTGTGGTTCGCCGGCAGCAGGTGCGGATAGCTGAGGTCTCGGAGAGCGAGGACTCCGATGAGGGGCCTGCATGTGATGCAGGGATGGGGCCAGGACCATCAGGGAGTGGAACGCTGCCTTTGGAGATTGTGGAGGCTGGCAGCAGTGAGGAAGAGGACCTCGAAGAGCCTGTGCCCAGCGTGCATGCGCACAGGGCTGCTCGAAGGAAAGAGCAGCTGCAGCAGCACGGGCAACTCGGGAGTAAGGCTGCAAGGTGATAGCACCTCCCTGAGGAGATAAAAGCCAGCTGAGATACCGGAGTTCTTTGCAGGAAGCAAAGAAGTTTTTGCACTCAAGCCTTGTGAACATTCGGACTCTCTTAGTTGGTGTTTGGAGACTCTTTGGGTTTGAACTAATTCTTGGCAACTTTATCTAGTATTCTTGGCAGCCTTGCACAACCTTGGCAAGGCTCGCTCTTATCAGAGACAATTAGTTTGAAACAGCCTTTGAACCGGGAAGGAACGGAATACGTGAAGAATCATTAAAAGGTTTTGCTGTTACCTGTTTCGTGTTTGTTTCCATGGAACAAGGTTTGGGTCAGAACACATATATACAAGTGGCTGCCCCTGTTGCTGTTGATGGGTGTTATTGGTAGTTCCATAATTAGGCTGCTGTTTGCTGTTTGTTTGACTGTGTAGGTAGGTAGGTAGGTAGGTAGGTAGGTAGATAGATAGATAGATAGATAGATAGATAGATGATAGATAGATAGATAGATAGATAGATAGATGATAGATAGATAGATAGATAGATAGATAGATAGATAGATAGATAGAATAGTTTATTGGCCAAGTGTTATTGGACACACAAGGAATTTGTCTTGGTGTAAATACTTCCAGTATACATAAAAGATACATTCTTTAAGAATAAAGAATCGTAACGTACAACACTTAATCATAGTCACAGGGTACAATCAGCAATCAAATCATACTATTAAACAGTCAATATAAATCGTAAGGATACAAGCGACAAAGTTACAGTCCTACAATCACAAGTGGGAGGGAATGGATGATAAGGAGTGATGAGAAGATTAACAGTAATAGTAGTGTACACTTTGTAAATAGTTGAACAGTGTTGAGGGAATTATTTGTTTAGCAGAGTGATGGCTTTCGGGGGAAAACTGTTCTTGTGTGTAGTTGTTTTGGTGTGCAGTGCTCTATAGCGTCGTTTTGAGGGAAGGAGTTGAAACAGTTTATGTCCGGGATGTGAGGGGTCTGTAGATATTTTCACAGCCCTCTTTTTGACTCGTGCAGGATACAGGTCCTCGATTGAAGGCAGGTGGGTAGTAATTGTTTTTTTCTGCAGTCCTAATTCCTCTCTGAAATCTATGTCTGTCCTGTTGGGTTGCAGAACCAAACCAGGGAATTATAGAGGTGCAGATGACAGACTCAGTAATTCCTCTGTAGAACTGGATCAGCAGCTCCTTGGGCAGTTTGTAGTTCCTTGATTGGGGTATTGTTTACCAGGAACTGATAACTACCAACTCAGACATTAATCAGACCACAAAGGTGACCTACAACAGCCCAGGGACCATCAAGAACACTCCCGCCAATATTGTCACAGCAAGCCGCGTGTCTTCCCAACCCATTTCAGGAGCACCTCATTTGTGAGGTGACAAGGACTTCGTAAATGGTCCTTTCCTGAGGTCAGAAAGGATTGGGGACCGCTGCCCTCGAGAATCGCCACATCTCACACAACTTCAAATGATCTGTCCTTGAAGTTTCCCAAGGTTTTAACATTCTTCTGCAGGAATTTAAAAGTTGTAATCGTTGATTCAAATTTAAGTTGGCTCCTGGTTTTGGTTGGAGCGGCCATCAGATGCTCTGGTATCTGGTGAGCTTTGGGTTGGTGGCCTCTCAGGTATGGTCCTGGCCGTTTCCTGAAACCTCTCTGAGATGGAAGCCATTCCTGGGAAGGTAGAATATGGCCCTGGAGCTTCTGGAGTCTTGACATCACCAGCTGGGTTCTCCATCTTTCTGTAGGCTCCTATCGAAGATCTTGAAGGAATGTGAAGATGCAGATGAGATAGAGTACCTGGTGGATGGCTCCTGGCGTCCGATCAAAGCAGAGAAGGAGAGGAGCTACAGCCCTCAGTGTCCGATACTCGTCGTGGGCGGATCCACAGGTGGGTCTACAAAGCGATGGTGGTTGTGGACTCTACACAAACCGGGAAGGCCAAAGGACCACCAAAGTCATCTCCCCTAGTTGATTCCAACTTGTGTGGTCTTGTCCAAATCTTAAGTCCTCCTTGTACCATGGACATTTATTCCCACCATCTTAACAATTGGTGGGCACTCCATCACTGGAGGTTTCCAAGAAGAGATTGGACAGTGCCTTGTCTGAAATGGTAGAGGGTCTTCTGCTTGAGCAGGAGGCTAGACTAGAAGACCTCCAAGGTCCCTTCCAACTCTTGTTATTCTGCCTGCGGAAGAAGTGGAGGATGAACGGATGACTGGATGGATTGATATGTAACTGGATGGATGGATGGAAAGATGGGTGGATGGAAAGATGGATGGATGGGTGAATGACTGGATGGATGGATAAATAACTGGATGAAAAGATGGGTGGATAGATGGATGGATGGATGGATGGAAGGATGGATGGATGGGTAACTGGATGGATGGGTAACTGGATAGATACATGGATGGAGAGATGAATGATTGGATGGGTGGATGGACGTTCGGATGGATGACTTCTGTTGTCCTTCAAGGTGAGACGGGGAAGAGATTTAAGAGTTCTTGATTGTGGTTGTGGTTGGGAGAACTTCACAGAGAAATGGGAGTGAGATGGCTTAAGATTGTGGTGGGCCAAGAGCTTTACCTTTGGCTGTTACTGTCTTCCTTAACTTCTGGGATTTCAACTCCCAGAATTCCCCAGTCAGCCATGGTTTTCTGATGGGTGGACTTCAACTCCCAGAATTCCCTAGCCAGCCTGTCTGAAAGTGGCCAAGGTTGAGAAACACTGGCAGAGGCAATCCTTGAATTATGACCACAATTGAGCCCAAGATTTCTGTCGCTAAGTGAGGCATTCGTTAAAGTGAATTTGGCCCCGTTTTACAATCTTGCTCGCCCCAGTGGTTAAGTAAGTCACTGCAGTGATGAAGTTAGTAACACAGTGGTTAAGTGAATCTGGCTTCCCCTACTGACTTGGCTTGTCAGAAGGTCGCAAAAGGGGATCACGTCACCCCCGGGACACCGGAACTGTCACAAATAGGAGTCGGTTGCCAAAGGTCTGAATTTCGATCCTGCGATCATGGATACGCCACAGCAGTCATATGTGTGAAAAACAGTCCTGGGTCCCTTTTTTGTCAGTGCCGTTGTAACTTTGAACACTCACTAAACGAACGGTTGTTAAGCCAAGGTTGTGATGACCCGGGGCGTGACACAAAAATAACAAAGTCACAAAAGTAGAATAAATTCCCTTTAATGCCTCCAACTTGGCCCCCAATGTCCAGTTATCCTCGGCTGGAGATCAAACTCTTCCAAAAATAGTCTACGAAGGGAAGAAATGCAGTCCGAACTCAAAGTAAAGATAATTAGAAATAAAAAACCAACACTAACAACACTGAAGTAATTAAGTCGGCAGGCCAGGATGATAAATTGCAGACTTTCAAAGAATAACGCAGCACCCACAGTTGGGAGGACGCCAAAACCCAGATAAGCCTCGACAAAGATAATGCACGCTTTGCTTCCAGCAAGGAACCGTGTGCAAACACCCTTCTTATATCCTGTTCTCCCAGCTGCAACTAATGAAAGGGATCAGGGCCTTTTTCTCCCTCCATAACCCACATTGCTCCCTTCTCCATTCCTCCCTGTGTGCCCTAGGATGAAGGGCGTTGGCCCTGGGTCTTCCTCCGAATGCCCAGGAGCCACACTCCCACTCCCTGTCAGTTGCTCAATCTCCCCCTCAGAATTGGACTCCAACAAGGGCATGACAAAAGTATACATGTTTATTTTTTTCCTTGCACATTCCCAGGGGGCACATCGGACGTCAACGGGGCGCCCCCTCCCGCCCCCAGTGTGGAGAACGGTAAGATTCCGGCTGACGTGGTCGACTTGACACTGGACAGCTCGTCCTCAGAAGAGGAGGAAGAAGAGGAGGAGGAAGATGACAACGGTGGTGGACCCAAGAGGAAAGTCCCCCGCCTGTATAAGAACGGTCTCGCCTCCGCCTGCTGACTGCCGGCGGCACCGGGTCACCTCCACGTGGGAAAGCTTGAATTCCTCGGTGCTTACTCAGATAAATGGGGCGGGGCGGGGTATCTTATCCCGTCTCCCCCCACTCACCCAACCTTTTACCTTGTCCTCCTCCAAAGCATCCTTGGACTTCCCGATTATTCCAAGTTTAAAAAAAAAATGACTTCGTTTTTAATCGGAAACAAACAGACCCATCTGGATGAGCGCTGATGCATGGCTGAAAGACATCCCCCCTTGACCACCATCACCTCGCAACCTAACGCCTCTTCGTCTCTCCGCCTTCGGCTCAGCTTTTGAACCGCCATTGGACGGTGATTGGGTTTGGGAGGGGGGTTGGGGAGGGCGCGCCTGTCCTGCACGCAGTTCTTTGGGAATGGCCACCGACTCTCTCTCTATCCCCAAACGTTCCTTGTCGTCCTCCTCCCCAACCCTCCTTTGCTTTCTGGTTAAACCTGGCTGGTGGGAACTGATTCCGCTACCGGCCAGTTTCCAGGACTTTTCACGGGTGTCCACGTTTATGTCTTCTTCGGGTTTTTTCTTCTTCTTTGTGTTCCATCGGCCTTGTTCGACAACCATTCCTCACTTTCTCTCTCTCTCTCTCTCTCTCTCTCTCTCTTTTTGATCTCTCTCTTTCCCCCCTCTCCAAAAATCCCACCGGACCGTTTGGAGGGCTGTTGCTTTTTCTCATCCTTAAATCAGCTGGAAAAGTTTCTAAAACCCAGTGAGATACCCAGGTTTTTCTGATACTAGGGATGGAAGGTAACGGGGCGGGCGGGGAACTGAAAGGAGACAGAAAGAGGGGAAGGGGAGAGAAAAACCCGCCACGGATATTTCCGCATCGAATCGTTCTTGGAGAGTCTCCCTTTTTACCTCCGGAGAGAACCTCGTGTAAACGACTGGAACTCTGGTTTTTTTTCTTTTAGCCTCTTAATGAAAATATCGTAGAATTCTAGCATAGCGACGAGCAGCTGTTTATTTTAAGTTGAACAGAAGCCATTTGGGGAGGGGAGGGGGTTTGGAAAAGGCAGAAGAGGAGACTGGGAAACCAGGTTGCAGGGAAGGGGTGGGGAACACGGGTCTCGCCGAACGAGGGAAGGGGCTCGAACCACGAATCTGTTCTCGTCATCTTTTGTTTTTCTTTTCTTTCTTTTTTTTTTTCTTTTGAAGTGCAATAACTCGGTGTGTTTTGGAAGGCGGTTATTAAAAAAAAAGAGGGGGGGACGGGCCCATCCTCCCGTTGGCCGGGCTACGGCGAGATGGTCTCGTTGGCCATCTTGGGGTGAGGACGGATGAGCGAGGGGGGGCTTCCGGACAAAAATGCCAGTTGGAGGAACTCTCTCACTCTCTTTCTCTCTCTCTCTCTCTCTCTGTTTTGTTTTGGTTTTTTGTTTTGGTTTCTAGCCAACTACCTCGGTTAAAAAAAAAAAAAGAAAAGAAAAGAAAAATAGAAATAAAAAAAATTCAGGTGTAGGTCAGTCACGGACAAAAAAAAAAAAGGCAAAACGTATGGTGTGGAGCCGAGCTGGGGTGACTTGGGGGGGAGAAACACGGCATGCCGGTGAGTGTCTTTTGGTTGTTTTTTTTTTAAAAATTGCCTCTGGACTTCCAGCTGTTTTGATACTTGTGTGCAGCAGCGGGATTCAACCGGCATAACAACCGGTTCGTGCGAACCAGTCCGTACCGGCTGAATCCCATTCTTGCTTGCGTGTCTCATCCTGCTTGTCTGTCTGTCTCTCCCCCTTGTGTGTTTGTGCACCTTTTAGAGACGCCCCTTCCCCTTCTCCACCTGGTCTGGTGAAACCCCTCCCTCCCTCCCCCTCTTAACTTTCCTTCGGATCGTAAATGGTGGCGAGGGAGGGGAGCCTCACCCGTTGAACCTCTTCCTCCTCCTCCAACAAAGGGTATCCCCATTGGCTCCTCTAGTAAGAGGGTGTGTCTCTCCCCCCCCCCCCGACCCCGATCCCCAGGGTGATACGGGGCCAAACAGAAGGACGCGGAGGATGGACGAGCTTGTCCCCTTTTGCAAAACTCAACTGGGCAACGATTTTGGTCTGGCTCCCCTTTTCCAGCAGATTTTTTATTTATTTATTTCTTTGGTGGGGGGGGGGTCAGGTCTGATATTACAGGATGCCACACTTGTCTCCCTCCCTCTCTCTCTGTCTCTGTCTCCTGTCCAGCTGCAATATAGGTTCTGGAATGGGCCTTTGTTTTTAATTCGGTGTTCAGTCAACTTCCCCGTTTCCTTGGGTGGTGGTGGTGGGGGGGCTGTCTCCACTTCCACACACACACACACACACACACCCGGGGAAAGGTTGTGTATCGTCTCCCTTGGTTTTAACCCGCCCTTGAGATGCATTTCGGTAGGAGTAATGCATCCGGGTTTTTTTGTTTTTTTTAAAGGATGCTGTAAAGAGTGGAGGATGAAGAGGGGACATCCTGCAAGGCCTGCTGGTTTGCTGGCAAATTTTCCTCCTTGCCTTGAGCTACCTCCCACCCACACCCCAGTAAAATGGAGTTAGGCCCCCTGAGGAAATTTTAAAAGAGCCCCTGGGATATGCAATACCAAGCCTAAAGGCCCTTCCTTCCTTTCCTTCCTTCCCTCCCTCCCTCTTTTTGTCTCTCTCTTTCTCCCTCTTTTTATCTCCTTCCATTCTTTTCCTTCCCTCCCTATCTCTCTTTTCCTCTTTTTGTCTCCTTCCATTCTTTTCCTTCCTTCCTTCCTTCCCAAAGTCCAGTTGAGGAAAGACTGATGAAGGAAAGAAAAACAAAAAAAAACGGTCCTTCCTCGGACTTTCCAATCCCTTTCCATTGCTCCGTTGTCCTCCCTTCCCCGGCTCCCACCAGCTAATATTTTTAACAGTCAAAACATCTCAAAAGTTAAGCAATATGTTTGCTCTTGTTTTAAAATGCATCCACAACACTGTCGTTCCGGCCCAGGAGAAAAAAAAAGGCCTGAACGGAATTTTTCCTTGTATAGATTGCTTCTACAGCCACCAAGTAGAACATAGGATTTTCCTTCTCTCGGTGTTTGTATTTTTAATTTAATTGCGCGTTAAAACTTCTTCCTTTTGATTTCTCCTTCTGAGCTCTGCTGAGAACTTTTCCCCCTCCTTTTTCTGTTTTATTTCCCTCTTTCTCTTTCTTTCTCTCTCTCTCTCTCCCTCCTTAGCTCAGCAAAGTTTTTCCAGTCTGTACATATGTTGTTGATTGTTTTAATTTTTTAAAAAATTTAACTCCTCTTCCTTCAGCGTCTTCTTGTTCTTCCCTCCCTCCTGTTTTTTTTCATTTGTAAAGCAAAAAAGTTCTTTCTTCTTTCTTTCTTTCTTTCTTTCTTTCTTTCTTTCTTTCTTTCTTTCTTTCTTTCTTTCTTTCTTTCT